ACAGTGACGATATTTAATGAAAGGAAGAAAAGTGCCAGTATGAGGAGGATTGGGTGTCAGTGGCAATCCTGAAAATGCCTAAGATCACTGCATAAGAATACAGCGATGATATTTAATGAAGCAAATCCACATTCTACAATGCAATTGTAAAACTGGCAACAGCTCAAAAAATCAACATTCTACAATGCAATTCTAAAACTGGCAACAGCTCAAGCAATAAAACTATGACTTTGTAACTGGACTTCAGATCAGCACCAAATTGTGCACGACAAGAGCAAACAGTCCAATGTTTCTCTGTGTAGACCATCTTGACTTGTTGCCATTGGTGTTGTCAGCATTCAGGCTGCCCTTTGCTATGTAAAGTTTGGGATTCTTTTACCTGCTGGCAACATGGGCATGATATTGTTTCTTGGTGCTTTGAATCATGGATACAGAAAAACAAAATCCCACACTCTTAAACCATCATTTAAAAAAAAAAAAGAAATGGATAATGAAAGAAATGGATAATGAAAACATGGAACAGAATACCAAGTGCACCTTCTATGATGCATATCACACACTGATCATTCAGGCTTCCTCCTTAATGCTTTCCCCTGTTCTAATGGGTCCAAATAACCCATTATGATCCATCTTCAAGGGCAATCAGATTCATGTCAGGGCAGACGAGTACCCCACAGATTTTTCCAATCTGCAGAATTTTGGAAAAGGAAAATCATACGTGGAATATGTTGAACTTCAGTGGGACATCAATTGGTGCACAACAATAATCTATTTCTGCACAAGATAGTGCATTTTTTTGGTCTGCACACAATTCTGTGCTGAATTTTATCCTTCTTTACACAAAAGAGGCAATCCTTCTCAAAATCTAGTAAACTGCATCTCATTATTGCCAAGGAAGTGTGCTGGTTCAAGGATCTTCAGCATGGATGGATAGACACAGAAAAAGAGTGAGAAATTTTCTGAAATCCCGTCCCTATCCCATAAATATTATTGGGAGTCACAGTCCACCAATTCTGTGCTGAATTTTATCCTTCTTTACACAAAAGAGGCAATCCTTCTCAAAATCTAGTAAACTGCATCTCATTATTGCCAAGGAAGTGTGCTGGTTCAAGGATCTTCAGCATGGATGGATAGACACAGAAAAAGAGTGAGAAATTTTCTGAAATCCCGTCCCTATCCCATAAATATTATTGGGAGTCACAGTCCACGAACATCTGGAAATCCCGTCCCTATCCCATAAATATTATCACAGTCCAAGAACATCTGGGGATTCAAGATTGGAAATCATGATATAATCAAAGAATATTATTATCTGTGATATATCTCCATATCTTATGTATTTCAGCCACGTAGTGTGTGTTTTGGATTATTTTACCCTACTAGAAAGCCACACACCTTGGGTATTGTATCTGAATAAATATCAGTTTTTACATATAGAGTTGGGGCTAGCCAGAATTTTTGTGAAGTAAATGTGGAGTTGCCAAACAAGTTCACCATGCCTCAAAGTTATTTTATGGACAACTGACATCAGAAGTGAATGTTAAAAACCCAATGGGCTAAAGGCGAAAGATTTATACAATCTGAAGAGAAACCAGAGTAGACGGTATTGGCACCCCACAAAATGACACAAAATTAATGGAGAAAACTTACATAGATGCTGGAGAAACTGTGGAAGTAAAGGCACACTAGAATACAAAATGGAAGCATATTGGTGGGAAATAATTAAATGGATAGAAACATTGTTGAATCAAAATTAATTAAAAATGAAGCTTTATTATTATTTTCAATATTTAAGGATGGCAATGAAAAAATATTTATTAAAGACATAATTGCACATCTTATTGATGCAGCAAGAGCTGAAATTGCACAGAACTGGAGAAATGCTCAAGATCTTTCAGTACAAAAATTTGAGAACATAATCTGGCAAATGGTTCTGATGGAAATGTTGACCAATCAAATTAAAATATATAGGGGGGAAATAAAAGAAGATAAATTTATGAACTGGACCAATGGACCACTCTAGGCAGCTGGAATTAACATATGGAATTAGCTCAAGGAAAGAAGAATGTGATTGGGAAGTAATTTGGATTGCTGGCATGTAGTATTTTAAAGGAATTAAGTACGTTAAAATATGTACTAGTGGATGTGTAAATAAAGATAATGCTGATGGACTATGTAAGAAATGTGATCATTTGGATTGCTCGCATGTAATATTTTAAAGGAATTAAGTATGTTAAAATATGTACTAGTGGATGTGTAAAGATAATGCTGATGGACTGTGTAAGAAATGTGATCATTTTGTACTACAATTCTAACTTGCATTGTCACACTATGGATGTTAATAAAATACTACATTAAAAAAAAAACGCAACCCCACTGGGCTAACAACAGTCGTGTTCTGTGTCTACTCAGGGATTGGCCTTTCAAGACCTCAAGTTTCCATAACTATATGACACTTTCCCTTCTGTCTAAAGGCATCCAGAGCTACTTTCTCTTACACTGTCTTCTCCTCAAGGACCTCTGCATGTGCTAAGGAAGCCCTAGAGGAAAAAATGGAGCTATATTGGTTTATAATTTTCATTGGGACTTCTGTGTATGGAATGGTACCTTTTTATTTTATTTTATGTTATTTGATTGATTGATTGATTGATTGATTGATTGATTGATTGATTGATTGATTGATTGATTGATTGATTGATTTGATTTGATTTGATTTGATTTGATTTGATTTGATTTGTATCCCGCCCATCTGGTCCATGTGACCACTCTGAGCGGCTTCCAATATAATATAAATAATTAATAAAAACACATAGTTACATAAATCTCCAAATGAAAATGTGAAAACCAAGAAAATAGAATAAAGATAAATAAAGGAGAAATGAGAAGAGAGAATCAAGTAGAATCAGGGAAGGCCTGAATAAACATCCATGTTTTTAATTGGCTTTTAAAGTTACCCAGCATAGGGGCCTGGTTCTTTTCTTTTTCTCAGTCCTAAACAAAATATCTTTTTATAGCTCAACCTGTGGTTACATCATCTTGCACTGAAATGATCCCTGTGCGCAGCACTGCATGGCTGCTAAGTTACCTTTTATGAAGCTAACATCTTTCAAAATAATCTGTTCTATATCTTTTGGGTTCGAGCTAGTTAAGCCCAGAATGACATCCTTTTCATTTTTTGAAAAGGATAATCAGGATAGGAAACATGAGATGACCAGACTTCGTCAGACTGCAATCCCCATGCTCTTTATCATTGGCTATGTTGGCTGGGTATGGTGGGAGTTGCAGTCCAAAAACTTCTGAAGAGTCATACCTTCCCCAGCCTTGCAATAAAACTTAGAATCTCCTCATAAAGTGGACAAGGGTAGCCTACAGCAGGGAATCCAATTTGATGGCCTTCAGATACTTTGGACTACATCTTGCATAATCCCCTAAATAACATGATTAGTGGTTGCCAATTATAGGAATTAAACTCAACAAATATGGACACTTCAATTGGACTGAAAGCATCCCCACAAGGGTAAACCCAAGGTGGGATGTTATGGTAATTCTTGAACTTCAATTGATGAGTATCTACCAATGGCAGACATAGTCCTCCCAGCTTCTGTCTAATCTGTATGGTGAGTGTAGTCTCCATTTTTATGCCTCTACAGCAAGGGTTTCCAACCTTGGGTAACCCACCTGTTCTTGGACTGCACCAGCCAGCACAGCTGGTGGTGAACGCTTATGGGAATTACAGTCCAAGACCCCCTGGGTTATCCAAGTTTGGAAACGACTGCTCTACGGTATGTATTCCTGAGACTGGCTAGTCAAAAAGTGGTCACTCTGTTTATGTATGGTCAGAAATGGATGTGAATCATTATCTATGGATTTTAAGAAAAGCAATACAATTCCATTATGGAAAAACAGGATTTCCTGGGGATGACTGACATCACTGCTCTTGGTATCCTATAATTTATTTTTTTATTTATTTTATTGGACTTCTACCCTACCCATCTAAACCAAAGGTCTACTCTGCTCTACTCTACTCTAACACAAAGTGACACTACCCATAGGAAATGCTGCTGGAACCCACAATGTATTCTCATTCCCGTGGCAGATACGTGTATAGCTCTGAAATTTAGCTTAATATTATTATTGAGATATCATCACAGATAACAGGGGCTCATGATAGGAGATGAGAGGGAATGATCAGAATATGATGTGACCTTGTTCTAGATTATCCAGTATCAGGACCTCAGCAATATCGAAAGTGCTTAAACGTAGTGCTACATGTGGACTCAAACTGCAAATACATTAACCTTTTTATAGTGTATCTTTTTTTTCCCCTGTGGCTTTTTTATTCACAGGATTTAAAAATTGGGGAACTTTTCCATGGGGTTGGTTTCCAAAAATGGAAAAGATAAACTCAAAGAAAGGGTTAAGCAGGGCCTTCTGCCTTACCACCACTGAGATCAACTTACTGAATTGATGGCTATTATACTACAGAACAATACCTTGCTCCTCACCTCCCCTGAGTGTGTCATCTATGAATTTCCAAGACACAAAATGTCACCTCCTTAGGAAATGTCACCTACCACTGAAGGGCAGGGCATGCAAATTGGCACATAATTACAATGTTTTGCTCAAGAGAGGGAGGGGGAAAGAGTCCACTAAAACAGCTAAAGCAGAACTTTTTATCTCCCCTTTATTGAAGAAGTGGTCCTGCATTCCTCCTCTTATCCAATTCTGCAGGAAGAATTCCGACAATGTAAAGGTAACCACCACAGACACGCACAGTTGAATTTAAAGACCCCCACCATCTCAATTCTGCATTCACTGTCATGATGGAAGTGAAAGTATGAAATGTGTGTCGTAAGAATTATTATGGCAGCTTAGAAAGGATTTATCTTTTCAAGGTCATTACAACACTTTCCCCATCCATCAGAAGCAGGTAGACTTGCGATTTTTCAGGTTTTGATTAATGATCTCAATACATGATATTCAGAACCACTACACAAGTATAATGATATGCAACTCAGCCAGGTGTGCTTTACTCTATTAGCATGTAGTATTAGGTATACATAACAATAATGTTCAGCACTCAAAACAGCAGTCACTACTAGTTATAACTTGAGGATGTACATTTGTCCTGAATCTCAGGTACTTAACAATTCAGATATTTAATATATGATTCAAAAATTCATTCCCCCCCTCCCCGGCTGTCTCCAATATCTCCTAGGATTGGATCACAATTGCAGTCAGTGTGTTGTTAAAAAAATACCTGTCTCCTCTCATTTCACTGTATTCAGGCTTTTTAAGGTCCTCAACAATTTCAGCTTTTAGGTCAAGAGGGGCAGTTTTACTAAAGTTACAAGTTTCGGTCAAAAAATCAAGCAACAGCTCCCCATTTTTGTTTCCCTCAGTAAAACAATCAGTTATGTCCATATGTGATGGAAGCTCATAGGACTGGTACTTCAGTCCTGCCTCGTTCAGAATCTCTTCTATGTCAGGAGCTAAAATGAACAAGCAAAGAGCATTCAGACGTAAACGTGGACCATATTTCTTCCAAAGCCTGGCCCAGCCACTGTTTCCTGTCAGATGAAACAAAATGACAATCTGTTAAATACTTGCTTGTTGATATTTTCACCATGTGCATCTACCACCAGCAGAAGCACCTGCGTCCATGGAGCTTTATGCAATATAGATTTCATAAACCTTTTATCCAAGGCCCTTATAGGACAAGAACAAGTGCCAGGGGTAAAAACAGAGAAAAAGAAAAGACCCAGCGGCGGAACGGATGCGGAAATATTTTTCTGTTACTTGTCCTTCAGCTCAGTTTCAATATGGCAGCCTTCTGCAACATGTTTCCCTCTAGTCTTCGACATTCAACAGCCCCAGCCAACAGGGTGGATGGGATGGCACCAGTTTGGAATAAGCCACAGTAGAGTATTGGTATGATGCTGTGGTTTCAAAGCCATTCTGGGAAAGGTTAATTGTGATTTAGCTGCATGGATCCAAGATCAAATACCGCCTAGAGTGGTCTGGTAGTCCAGATAGGCGGGGTATAAATCAAATAAATAAATAAATAAATATGAAATGAGTCAAAGGATTGAAAGAGGGGCAAAGCAGGGTCAGAATGATGAGGGAAGTCAACAGAGTGCACTTGATACAAAATGGGTCAGGGTGGGATGACAGAAGAGGAGACAGATTGCTGCAGCAGACAAATGCTTTTTGAGAATATAACAAACAAACAAATAAACAAACAAATAAATAAATAAATAAATAAATACGAAATGAGTCGAAGGATTGAAAGCGGGGCAAAGCAGGGTCAGAATGATGAGGAAAGTCAACAGTTTGGGCGACAGAGTGCACTTGATACAAAATGGGTCAGGGTGGGATGACAAGAGGAGACAGATTGCTGCAGCAGACAAATGCTTTTTGAGAATATTTCTGATATGTCAGATGAGCAACACAAACCCTGAATGAAATTTTGCTAGTCCTTCACAGCATCAACTCAAGATTATTCTTCTAGGAGAACTATTCATCCCCATGGGAGCCCAGCTATGCTGATGTATGGAGGTGGGAGGTGGGGAATGGGGGATGAGGGAGGGAATCCTAACTTAATTCCAAGGAGCCTTCTCGCTTCCCTCCATTTCCCTGTCTAGTCCTCAGTCATACTGAAGCATGGCACACAATATTTGCAAACAACTGGAGGCCAGAAAAGAACCCCATATACTCGTCTAGCCCATCTTCATGATAGCTCAAAGGTTCAGAAATCTGGCTGTGGAGCCAGAAGCTGGGAGTTCAATCCCCCTAAATGCCACATTAACTGTGTATAACTTGATCTCTTTTTCATGTGTGATGTATTGGCTTGGGATATGCATAAGAAATTGCCAGCCAGAGCTAGGGAGATTACCATGCTCTAATGAGGTGTTTGCTGTTTGCTACTGTTTTCTAACAAAAGTTGATTTTAATCCATGTTCTGTTCTAATGTGGAGAGACAGAATCATCCCCCATAGACAAAGATGCCAGACAAGAATGCATTTTCTTATCTGTTCAATCTGTATGCAGAAGATATCATACAGAAAGCTAAGATTCGATTCAGATTAAGAAGTGAATATTTGTGGAAGAAACATCAATAATTGAAGATATAGAATCATAGAAAAGTGAAGTTGGAAGGGCCCTACAAGCCCATCAAGTCCAACTTCCTGCTCAATGCAGGAATACAATCCAAGCATATCTGCCAGGTGATTATCTTTCTTGAATGCCTCCAGTGTTGGAGCACTCATCAACTCCTGAGGTAACTGGTTCCACTGTCGGACTGCTCTAACAGTTAACACATTTTTCTGATATTTAGCCAAAATCTGGTTTCCTTTAACTTGAGCCAATTGTTGCATGTCCTGCGCTCTGGGATGATCGAGAACAGATCTTGTCCCTCCTCTGTATGACAGCCTTTCAGTTTTCTTTTCTCAAGGCTAAACATGCCCAGTTCTTTCAGCCTTTCCTCATAAGGTTTGGTTTCCAGCCCCCTGATCATCCTTGTTGCCCTCCTCTAAACTTATTTTTTATTTTATTTTATTTATTTAATTTATATGCCGCCCACTCTACCCAGAGGTCTTGTTTCATTTTGTTTGCATCCTTCTTGAAGTGTGGTGTCCAGAACTAGACACAATACTCAAGGTGAGGCCTAATCAGTGCTGAACAGAGAGGGACTAGCACCTCGCGGGATTTGGAAATTCTACTTCTATTAATGCAGCCTAAAATAGCATTTGCCTTTTTTGTAGCCACATCACACTGTTGGCTCATATTTATCTGTGATCTACGACAATTCCAAACTCCTTCTCGCTTACAGTTTTGCTGAGCCCGGTATCCCCCATCTTGTAACTGTGCAAATGGTTCCTTTTTCCGAGGTGCAATACTTTGCACTTATCCCTGTTGAATTTCATTCTGTTGCTTTCAGCTCAGTGCTCCATCCTATCAAGATCATTTTGAATTTTTTTCCCTGTCTTCTAGGATATTAGCTATTCCACCCAATTTGGTATCATCTGCAAATTTGACAAGCAGTCCCTCCACTACCCAATCCAAGGCATTAATAAAAATATTGAGGCCAGGGTTGAGCTTTGGGGTATCCCACTTGTTACCTCCCTCCCAGTAAGAGAAGGATCCCTTAATTCTGAGTATCAGGGTAAGCTTTGGGGTACCCCACTTGTTACCTCCTGTTAAGAGAAGGTTCCCTTAATTCTGAGTATCAGGGTGTAACATCATCTTACTGGCAGAATGCAGCAATGACTTCAAACAACTTCCAGTGAAAGTGCAAGGAGAAAGTACAAAAGCAGAACTGCAGTTGAATGTTAATAAAAAGAATCATGACTATAGAAAAAATACAGAACGTTTAACATTGATAATGAATAAACTGAAATAGTTAGAGATGCTGTATGTTGTGGTTCAACCATCAATCCAAGCAAAGACTGCAGCCAAGAAATCAGAAGACTGAGCTCAGAAGGGCAGCAATGAAGAAATTAGAAAATATCATCAGGTGTAAGGATGTGCCATTGGAGGCCAAGCTGAAGATAATCTACAGGATTGTATTCTTAACTGCTATGCATGATGGGAAAGCTAGACAGCAAAGAAGGCTGACAGGGAAAAAATGATCTGTTTGAAATATAGTGCTAGAGGAGAGCTTTGTGGATATCATGGACTGCCAGAGAGACAAACAGGTAGAGCAAATGAAGCCTGAACTATCTCTGGAGGCAAAAAATGATGAAACTGATGCTGTCCTACTTTGTGCACATCATGAAAAGGCCAGGTATTCTGGAAAGGACAGTAATGCCAGGAAAGGTTGAAGGCAGCAGGAGAAGAGGAAGACTAAATATGAGATGGATTGACCCCTTTAATGAAGCCACAGGCTTGAGCTGGCAGGACCTGAGCAGGGATGTTGAGGACAGGACATTTTGGAGATCACTCATTCATACGGTAGCCATAAGTTCGAGGCAACATGATGGCACATAACAACAACAGAATACCATCATATTGATTCTGATTTATTAGCAATTCTTAACATGACTCCCTGGATATGAAGTGATTTAATATTCCTTTCTTCTGGGGTACCATGGGAAAGTGCAGCCTGCCCAGCTCTTCATGAACAACTGGATAGCTCAGTGTATAGGTATCTGACAGCAGAGCCGGATGTTAGGAGTTAGATTATCCACGGCGCCTCCTTGACAGGGACTTGATTTGATGATCCAGAGGGTCCCTTCCAGTTCCGCGGTTCTAAGATTGTAATTATAGTTTTCTAGAAGGGTTAGCCCTGTTAGTCTGTGCAGGCATGAGAGGTGAAAACAAAAAATAAAGAATAAAAAAATTGCTAGCACTTTAAAGACTAACACATCCATATGCACAGTACAGTATATACAATGTGACTTTTCATGGACAAGTCTGATGAAATGGATATATATGTTAGTCTTCAAAGTGCCACCACATTTTAGTCTTTTTTTACTCTTCATTTTTTATTTTATTTTTTTTTCATTTATAAATTATATTCTTCTCACACAAGACACAGTGGGGAATTGGACTGCAGCTGGGTGCTCAAACTCACTGAGCTGTCCAGCCAGCTATCCATAAGTATATAGGACATATATTTGTACTCCATATGTCTGCTGAAGTGGATATTAATCCATGAAAAGCTCACATTGAAATAAATGGTCCTCGCCTTTAATTCTGACAATATACTTTACTGAGCCGGACTATCAGGGCTACTTCTCCGGAAAAAGTCCAAAAAAGTATTTTTCCCCCCAAGCTCTGACACAGTATAGGAAGACAAGAGACACCACCCTAATCCCCCTTCACTGAAAGGATGGCACTTTTTAGTGGTCTAAGTCTGGCCAAAGCTTTTGCAAAAACCCTTCTTTAGTCAAGAATCTTCCATTTTACCAGAGATTCTTGACTTGACTCTAACTCTCTTCACTTTGAATCTGCAATCAAATCAGAAGCTGATGTCAGGAGATGTTATTCCAGGATGAGTGATTATGTAAACAAGCCCCTTATAAGTTCACCTCCTCTTTGGGATCTCATCAAGGGGACTTCTTACAAATGCCACTCATTCAGATGTGAACACTGAGGGCAAATATAAAGGTGTGGGGAGGGGGAGAGAGAAAGAGAAGACATTGAATTCTTTCCCTAGGAGTAATCTCCATTCAACACAAAGAATCTAATTTAGCTTAGTTTAGTTTAGCTCAGCTCAGATGAACTTTAGTATTTCATGTCTCAGAACCCCTGCCTTTAGACAGTCTAGATTTTATTAAACTTAACAATAACATGCCTTCAATTTGATTCCAACGCATGGTGGTCCCTTCTAGGCTTTTCTAAATGTAGAGCACTACATTTGCCCAAGGCTACACACATTGTCTCTTCTCCTAGGAGCCACAGGGGTGAATGGGAACTGAACTCCTAACCCACAGCTACACAGCCAAATGCTCCAGCTTATTGAGCGATCCAGTCAACATATAAAGTTTTTTTTAAAAATTGAAAACATTTAAAGTTCTGTTTGCTTAGTTTGATTCGCACCTGAGCCTTAGAGATCAGGTGAGAGAAA